GTCTCTCTGTCTCTCTGTCTCTCTGTCTCTCTGTCTCTCTGTCTCTCCCTCCGGCTGCCACTCGGCACATCTACCTTTTGAGGATGGTACTAAATGATGGGAGAATATTGTTGTTATTTTGTTAACTGACTTTTTCTGGAGCTGTTTTTAATTGGCGTGAAGGTAGGAGACAGAGGGTGGTAGTGCAGGGTTGCTTTTCAAACTGGAGGCCTGTGACCAGCCGTGTGCCACCAGGATTGTTGCTGGGTCCACGGCTTTTTGTCACTTAGGTAAATGATTTGGATGTGAACGTCGCGGGTATGGTTAGTAAGTTTGCAGGTGATACCAAAATTGGTGGTGTTGTGGTCAGTAAAGGAGGTTATTTCGGAGCACAATGGGATTTTGTTCAGATGGGCCAATGGGCCAAGGAGTGGCAGATGGAGTTTAATTTAGCTAAAAATGATACGTTGTAGGACTTGTACACTTAATGGTAAGGTCTTGGGGAGTGATGCTGAACGAACAGACCTTGGAGTGCAGGGTCATAGTTACTTGAGAGTGGAGTCACAGGTAGCTAGGGTAGTGAAGAAGGTGTTTGGTACGCTTGCCTTTATTGGTCAGTGAGTTGGGACGTTCAGTTACAGCTGTACAGGACACTGGTTAGGCCGTTTTTGGAATACTGGGTCCAATTCTGGTCTCCCTGCTGTAGGAAAGATATTGTGAAACTTGAAAGGGGTTGGTGGGTTTGAGCTATAGGGAGAGGCTGAATAGACTGGGGCTATTTTCCCTGGAGTGTCAGAGGCTGAGGGGTGACCTTATGGAAGTTTACAGAATCATGAGGGGCATAGATAGGGTGAATAGCCAAGGTCTTTCCCCCAGGGTAGGGGAGTCCAAAACCAGAGGGGCATTGGTTTAAGGTGAGAGGGGAAAGATTTAAAAGGGACCTAAGGGACAATGTTTTCACACAGGGTGGTGTGTGTATAGAATGAGCTGCCAGAGGAAGTGGTGGAGGCTGGTACAGTTACAGCATTTAAAAGGCATCTGGATGGATACATGAATAGGAAGGGTTTAGAGGGATATGGCCAAATGGTGGCATAGATTAATCTAGTCCTATCTGGTCAAAAAACTCAAATCAAGTTAGTGAGACACTGAATTTCCCACTCGCAAAGCCATGTTGACTATCTGTAATCAGTCCTTACCTTTCCAAATACATGTAAATCCTGTCCCTCAGGATTCCCTCTAATGATGTACCCACCACTGATGTCAGGCTCACCGGTCTATAGTTCCCTGGCTTTTCCTAAGTAATGGCACCATATTAACCATCCTTCAGTCTTCCAGTTGGGTGTTCTCTGTGCCTTCCCTTCCGGTGGTTATGTTGATGGGGTTTCTCCCCTCCTCAGTGACTGCCCCACAGGGGTCAAAGACCAAGTCAGTTGTCTCTAGTTTGGTTGGTTCTGAGATAGTTAATAAGTCTGACTTGGTCTCGTGTTGGTGTAGGCAGTACTTGGAGAGTTGGAGTGTTGGGTCACTGAGGGGTGGGGGGGGGTTCAGTTCTCTGTAAATGCCTTCACCTCCCCTCTGCAAATTCCTGATGCCGTCTGTCCCTGTGTTTTGGTCAGTCATGGACCAGGGTCCCCTAGGCGTTGCCAAGGAGTGTTTGACCCCTTCGGAAGCGAAGGGGACCCTATGTGCGCATGCACCTATCTGCTGCAGTGCTTCGAGCTGCTGCTTGAAGTTCAAGTCCCTGGAGTGTTTAGAACACAGGGCTCACTGCTGCCCAGTCCACCATGAACTTTACACTTGAACTTGATGTTTCTGATGCTCTGTGGGCTGAGTGGCCTCCATCCACACTTAAACTTCTGTCAGTGCTCTGTCCTTGTCCTACCCCTGACCTGGAAGCGAGCTTTTTTTAGCCAGGCATGACCTAGGTCACCCTCTCCATCACTGAGGTCCTCAAGTGGCTAATTAATGGCTGTTTTTGGGTTAGTAGACACAGGTTAGGCTTGGTTGGACGGGGTGGTGGGCAAAGAGGTTTCTGTTCTGTTTGGACCAGAGGCAGGAAGGCTGAGTGCTGCCTCCCTCACGGATTCTCATCCCTCGATCAGTGAGTGAGGGAAGGGCACCCTCCAGCGCAGTGTGCATTTCCTTCCCTTCAAATTCATGTCTTTCGTCACCCCTTCTCCTGCAGGATTTCCTCTCCTGGTCCAGGGTTCAGTGTAGTGCTGGGCTCAGAGACTGGGTAGCTGGTATGGTTACTGTCTGTAACATCCAGCTCCTAGATAGGTATCTGCACAAAATCCTCATGAGACTTCCTGTCTTTGGCCTTTGTGCAAGGGAGGTAGAGCAATGTTTTGCATTGGTGTACCTTGATCCCTCTGTACTGCAGCATCCTGAAGTCTCTCTCCTTGTTTTTAAATAATACCCACCTTTTTCTATGCTGCTTCTCAAAGTGGGCAACCTCCCAATTTTCCCGCATTCCGGTCTGTATTTCCCATTCTGAGGAAGGGTCACCGGACCCGAAACATTAACTCTGATTTCTCTCCACAGATAATGCCAGACCTGCTGAGCTTCTCCAGCAATTCCCGCTTTTGTTCATGTGCCTGTGCTTTGGTGAAGTGACTTGGAATGTTTCACAGTGTGTGTGGTGTTACGTAGATGCAGGATGTTGCTGTTGAGTTTGGAGCTGCCTTTGAAATCCCCACAATGACCGTGCTGATGTTCTTTTTCTCTCTCTCTCTCTCTCTCTCTCTCTCTCTCTCTCTCTCTCTCTCTCTCTCTCTCCTCCAGTTAATCCAAGCAGCTGCATCAACAAACGTGAGCTGAGGGACTTTTCACCCGCACACCCCCGGCCAGGATGCCTCCCCGCCCGTCCTCGGGGGAGCTATGGGGCCTACACTTGATGCCCCCCCGCATCCTGGTGGATTGCTGCCTTCCCAATGGGATAATCGTCACGCTGGAGTGCCTGCGAGAGGCCACGCTGACCAGCATCAAGCACGAGCTGTTCCGGGAATCCCGAAAGTACCCGCTCTTCCACCTCCTGCAGGTTCGTCTCTTGGTGAGGGGGGCGGGGAGGGTTCACTGTTTTAGAATTTAACTCCTTTTCTCTCCCTGGATGTACAGTTCCAAGCATCCGCTCCCTTCACCACCGACGCTCAGTGTGTGTATTGTCTACAAGATGCACTGCAGAAAATCCTCAGACAGCACCTTCCAAACCCATGACCTCTTCCATCCAGAAGGGACAAGTAGAAAGTGGGATCACCACCCCCTCCAGGTTCCCCTCCAAGCCGCTCGTCATCCCGACTTGGAAGTATATCGCCGTTCCTGGGTCAAAATCCTGGAATTCCCTCCCTAAGGGCATGGTGGGTCAACCCACAGCAGGAGAACTGCAACAGTTCAAGAAGGCAGCTCCCCACCACCTTCTCAGGGGCAACTAGGGACGGGCAAGAAATGCTGGGCCTAGCCAGCGATGCCCACATCCCACAAAATGAATGAATAAATCACCAGGTTTCCTATGTGGAGACCCTATGTCTGCCTGGGCGTGCCACTTTCTCTTTTGCTTGGTGTGTGGATATCATCAGCAAAGACTGTGTTTATTCTGCATCCCTAATTGCTCCCTAACACGAGTGTCTTCAGCCCTTCCTGAGGGCAGCTAGGAGTCAATTCCCACTGCTGAGTCTGGAGTCACTTATAAGCCAGACCATGTAAGGATGGCAGATTTCCTTCCCCGAAAGGGGTTTGACACCTGATCCTAGCTTTGAATTAAGTACCTTTTTTTTTTTAAAAAATGAATTCCACCAGTTGCTGTGATGGGATCTGAACCTGTTTCCACCCAATACCCCACCCCCAGCACCAGGATCCTGATTTCAATTCCACCCTCGGTCTGCGTGGGTATCCTCCGGGTGCTCTGGTTTCCTCCCACGGTCCGAAGGATGTGCAGGCTAGGGTGGGTTAGCCGTGCTAAATTGTCCCATAGTGTACAGGGATGTGCAGGTTAGGGTGGGTTAGCAGTGGGGAAATGCAGGGTTACAGGGATTGGGTAGGGGGATGGGTCTGGGTGGGATGCCCTTTGGAGGAGTCAGTGTGGACTTGATGGGCCAAATGGCCTGGTTCCACACACTGGGGATTCTATGACCTCGCTGAGGAGGGCAGCAAAGCCGGATTTCAGATAAAACCAAGGTCCTGTTGGTGGTCTCGGTTCGTTCTTTCTCTCTGAATAGAGATATCCGTGGTGCCATTTTTCCGAAGAACTGGGAGAATGGTGGTCCGGTGGGGGAGAGGTGATCCAGTCAGCCAATCATGTCCCTCAGATGTGACACAGACGATAACCATTCTCTGCCTCTGAACCAGAAGTTCCTACTGTCAGTCCCACTCCAGGATCTGACAACTAAGGAAGGTGTGAATCAAGCCGAAAATCCTTCCAAAATGTGCCCACGGTAGATGTTGGGCGCAGAAGAGATCCCTGTCCCCCACCTCTCGATGGAAGGCAAATCACTACATCTGTTATTCGTAACTCCAGGTACAGCTTGGAGGGGGCCAGGGCTGCTGGTTTGGGAGGCCAGTAAGGATCCATCTGGTGCCGACATCCCTGGGTTTGATGCCCATTTTGACTGGAATGGACTTGGGAACATATTCCATAGCCCTACTTCTGATGGGAGGTCACAGTGCAGCGGGTTAGGCCTACCTTTTCAGGTGGGAGATCTGAAGGCAGCACCTTTTTATAGATGCATGATTTTTCAAAAAGAAACACACGAAAACAAAACAGCCAGCCCCCTCTCTGCGAAGGGAAGCCACCGTCCTCTCCTGACCCGGTCCTGTATGTGACTCCCATGCCCTCGCCGGCTTGCTTGCCCTTCGAGTTGGGCCTGCAGCATTTCCACATGGCACCGGGGTTGTGAAGAAGTTTGGGGCCCCCCACCCTTTTCGGGGGTGACCACCAGAGCTGCCAAGTTTTCAAGGGGCTGCAGACCCTTGACCCCGTTGAGCTGGACAGACCTCCCCCCTCCTCCCCCAATGACTCGCTGCTCGTTGTCTGTCACCACACTAACCCCTGCTCTCCTGCAGGATGAGTCCTCCTACATCTTTGTGGGGGTGACCCAGGAAGCGGAAAGGGAAGAGTTCTACGATGAGACGCGGAGACTGTGTGACCTGAGGTTGTTCCAGCCGCTTCTGAAGGTGATCGAACCAGTGGGCAACCGAGAGGAGAAAATCCTGAACCGGGAGATAGGTGAGTGCCTGGATCCTCCGTCCCCGACAGCATGGGGGAGGGAACCACCTCCAATTTACAATACGCAAACGGGCCATTCGGCCCAACTACCTCCCTCGCCCCTTATACCTTTCTTACTCATCTGGTTTTTTCAGTTTTCCCCTTCAATGTATCCATTCACCTCTCCCACTCCTTAGGAGAGCAAGTCCCACACACTGTCTCTACTCCTGAATGAAGGTATTTCTCCTGAATTCCTAGTTTTATTGGTGACTGTTGCATGTTTATTTCCTATTGCGTTTGTAGCATCTTTCCTGCTGATTTATGTGCCCTAGTTCTGGCCATTTTTCTTCTACCCATTGGCCTTTTCTCTGCTATGTTAAAACTTTGCAGCATCTCAAACCCCTCCATTTATTTACGGCAGTAAAGCCGTTTCCACAATTCCCGATAGCTGCAACTTCTCACTCCTGTATACTGTCACTGCAAATAATTGAGGTTGTTTCAGGGAGCCTTGCTATAACTGTACACTGTTTTGGTGAGGCCACACCTGGAGTACTGTGCACGGTTTTGGTTCCCCCCATATCTCCTTGAAACGTGTTGGATTCTTAAGGGACTTGACAGGGTAAATGCTGAGGGGATGATTTTCCCCCTCATGGGAGAGTGTAGGACCAGAGGGGACAGTCTCGGAATAAAGGGGCACCAATTTAACAGAAATAAGGAGGAATTTCTTCTCTGACATTCTTTGGAACTCCTTGCCACAGGAGAGCTATGGGGGGCAGAGTCCTTGTGTATATTTAAAGGCTGAGACAGATCTTTGATTCACTGACTCCTCACGAGTCATGAGGACAGGGTGCCATTGACATTGGAGTCAGATTCCTGGGATGAAGGGATTGACTTATCAAAAATGGCTAAATAGGTTAGGGCTTTCTTCATTGGAGCTTAAAAGGACAAGGAGTAATCCTTATTGAAACATAACAAGATTCCAAGGGGATTTAACAGGGTAGGTGGTGAGAAGATGTTTCCATGAGTGGTGGTCATCATGGGCTAGGGGTCGCAGTTGCAGAATAAGGGACACTCGTTTGAAATTGAGATGTGAATGAATTTTGAGGGTAGTGAATGTCTGTCTGGAATGCTCTACCCTGAAGAGTTGAGGCTAGATTACTGAATGTGTTTTTAAGGGGAGGTAGGTAGATTACAGACCTATCGGGAGTTGAGGGCTATGACGAGTTGTGGCCTGGGACAGATCAGCCATGACCTTCATAGAACGATAGGGCAGGATGGTGCATTCCTTCTCCTGTTTCTCGTTGTCTTTGCTCCCTGTCTGTGTGAAAATGTCCACACTTTTTTTATTTTTTCCTCTTTAGTGTAGATTTTCTGGGTTAATGTCATTCTGTCATAGTCATATAGCACCAAAACAGCAACAGACCCTTTAGTCCAAATCGGTCATGCTGACCAGATATCCTAGATAAATCTAGTCCCATTTGCCAGCATTTGGCCCATATCCCTCTTAAACCCTTCCTATTTATGTCCCCATCCAGATGCCTTTTAAATGTTGTAATTGTACCAGCCTCCACCACTTCCTCTGGCAGCTCATTCCATACACACACCACCCTCTGTGTGGGGGGGAAACCTCCCCATCCTTTTTAAATCTTTCCCTTCTCATCTTAAACCTATGCCCTCTAGTTTTGGATTCCTACCCTGGGGGAAAAAGACCTTGGCTATTTACCCTATCCATTCCCCTCGTGATTTTATAAACCTCTATAAGGTCAACCCTCAGCCTCCAACGTTCCAGGGAAAATAGCCCCAGTCTATTCAGCCTCTCCCTGTAGCTCAAACCCTCCAACTCTGGCAACATCTTTGTTAATATTTTCTGAACCCTTTCAAGTTTAATAACATCTTTCTTATAGCAGGGAGACCAGAATTCCAGTAGGATTCCAAAAGTGGCCTCACCAATGTCATGTAACGTGATTTCCCAACTCCGATCTCCATGCACTGACCGACAAAGGCAAGTGTACCAAACACCACCTTCACTATCCTATCCACCTGCATCCCAAGGTCTCTTTGTTTGGCAACACTCCCTAGGACCTTACCATTAAGTGTATAAGTCCTGCCCTGGTTTGCCTTTTCCAAAATGTAGCACCTTGCATTTATCTAAATTAAATTCCATCCTGTTTTTATTTTAGAATGTCTGTTGCTTCACCATTGAAGGAAATTTGCCCGTGAATCCTTCACTTCCCGCAGCACATCAGTGTGCGATATTGTTCAGTTTAAAAAAAGCTTTATCCCCCGTCGACCGTACAGCCCGGAGTCAGTGCCATTCTGGTGGGAGGGGTGCACACAACAGAAAGAAGCCAGCACCTAACTGTGCCCTCCCGCGGCAGGGTTTGCGATCGGAATGCCGATCTGTGAGTTCGAGCTGGTGAAGGATCCAGAGGTCCAGGACTTTCGTCGCAACATCCTGAGTGTCTGCAAAGAGGCGGTGGAGCTTCGGGATGCCAGCGGTCCCCAGAGCCAGTCACTGTATGTCTACCCTCCTAACGTAGAGTCTACAGCAGATCTCCCCAAACACATCTACAACAAACTGGATAAAGGTGAGGGGGTGGGGAGCTCCTGGTGGCTGGGGAGGCGTGTGTGCACGAGATGGTAACGCGACTGACCCAAACAAACCAATTACCGCAGCACGTCTGCAAGTGTGTTGAAGTCCCACGAGATCTTCTACATTCTTGGCTGTACCGTCTCTGATTCAATGAAGCTTGCACGAGAAGGCCTTTCAGCCCATTGTGCCTGGCAGCCAAGGATGTAGAAGATCCCGTGGGACTTTTTTGTTTGGTTTACAGCTGAGGTAAGTAGGTTTTTGGTTTGTGGAATCTGGAACAATACAGGAAATGGGCGTAAACAGTGCATTTGAACAATGCAGTGAATATTGTTCAGATGAAGCGAATGGGCCCAGCCAATGTATTGGTCAGATGCAGGGAATGGTCCAGAGGTTTGACACAGGATGTGTTCGCTTTTTGCAGGCCGCATCATCGTGACAATCTGGGTGATCGTGTCACCGACCAATGACAAGCAGAAATACACGCTGAAGATCCCCCATGATTACATGCCGGAGCAGGTGATCGCTGAGGCCATCCGCAAGAAGACCAGGAGCATGCACCTCTCGCTGGAGCAACTGAAGCTGTGTGTGCAGGAGTACCAGGGCAAGTACATTCTGAAAGTGTGCGGTTGTGATGAGTACTTGCTGGAAAAGTACCCCATCAGCCAGTACAAGGTGAGCCACTTCGATGGGTCGGGTCAGGGCTAGGGATCTTTGTAAACCTGCTCTGTTGGAGCTGAATTCTAATGGCTCTCTGTGCTCTTCCTAAGAACATGAGAGCGCCAAAGTATCCCTGTGAAGCAGGCTAGAGTGGCATTGCAAGAACCAGCACTAGATTAGAATTGGCATGGGTCACCCACCCACAGGATTAGGAATCCAACTTTTTTTTTTTTTGAATGTTCATATTTTCCTGATGGTCAGATGTAGGGTATTTCTTGTCTGTTGCCTGCAGGGAGGGGAGGGATGGAAATAAACAAAGTTGTCTTTAACCCCAAGACTTGAGACAGGGGCTTGTGCCCATGACACCGGGAGCAATTCTGCTTGATAAAGTGAGAGTTTCCTGCAGAGTGGGGTGTTTGCCAGAGCGTTTGCTTTTTAGAGACATCAGCAGGAAATGTGAGAGAGCGAGAATGCCTCTGGTATTGACAGAATGTGAGGCGATGGTGAGTACTCCACTGTCAGCATATGGCGCAGTGCAGTGCCCCCCTTGGGAATTGATGCTGGGAGTCCAGTTGGATTCCCATGTGACTGTCTGTCTTGAGTTTACTTATTCATCGACACACAGCTTTTAGAAGGCTCGTTGGCTGCTTCAGTTGAGGGCTGACCAGAGACCAGCCCCATTTTTGATCATCAGTGACCTGAACCCATACAAATAGATATGGTATACTGAAAACTGTCTAGTCCCTGTTTCTATGTGTTTTGTCAATGTGTGGTCAGCCACTACCCTTCTAAGGTTTGCTAAAAATTTAAAAGAACAGCTGGTGGCTATTAAACATCTGAACATACATGAATAGGAAAGGACATCACAAACAGACAGCAACAGTGACACTAGACGTGGGATGCGAGGTGTAAGACTGAGCGCATCAATAAACTCTTGCTATCTGCACCAGCCGGTTTGGAATCAGTTATTACGTCTTGTTTATAAATGTCATATACTTGAGACTTGGGAAGTGCCAGTCGTGTGCAAGTTGCATGATGAATGCAAAAGCCTGTTGTATTAATCCAGCAGTCTCTGTCCTGTTATTACTAATAGTGTTACTCAGTGATGCTCCCCCTGTGCGCTCTCTCTCTCTCTCTCTCTCTCTCTCTCTCTCAGTACATAAGAAGCTGCATTATGATTGGCCGGTTACCCCACCTGATGCTGATGTCCAAGGAGAGCCTGTATAGCCAGTTACCAGCCAACACCTTTGTCATGCCCTCGTATGCGCGCCGTATTTCTACCGCCACCTCCTACATGAACGGAGAGGTTCCCGCCAAATCCCTGTGGTCTTTCAACAACCTGCTGCGGATCAAGATCCTGTGTGCCACCTACGTCAATGTCAACATACGGGACATTGACAAGGTGAGTGTTCGGTGGGGGCGCAGTGGGGATTTGAGAGCTGGTGGGCTTTTCCGTTCGGTAAACCCCCAACCCCTGCTTCAGCTTCCCAGCTCCGCCTCGCCACCGTTTGCCATCACTGCACCATTAATCTCGGCTGATCTCCTGCTGGAGCCCTCGCCCGCACCGCTCGGCTGCTTGAGGACACTCTGCTTCGAGGAGGGTCACCGGTCCGTGGAAATCCTTTCCCTAGAAGGTGGCCGAGTCCTTCCGAATATATTCCAGGCTGAGCCGAACAGAATTCTGATCAGTTTTAAGTGAGGCGAGACGAGGCAGGCAAGTGGAGCTGAGCCCACAATTAGACCAACAGCCATCTTGACTGGCAGAGCAGGCTGGAGGGGCTGAACAGCCTCCGGTTTCCGATGTTCCTGATGTCGGGAAGGCGTTTGGACTGGGCATCTGGTTCCTGTTTGTTGGCTTTGCTGGCTTTCAGCATTAGCGTTTTCCCCCACTTATTCTGTCGTCTTTCTACCCTGGCCTTTCTATTACCAGTGAAGTAGGCCAGAGATACAACCCTGCTATCCCTGTCTCAAAACAGAGAGCTAACTGTGCAGTGGCATGGTGGCTCAGTGGTTAACGCTGCTGTCTCACCGAGTTTGATTCCACCCTCAGCCGACTGTGTCTGCGTGGAGTTTGCACTTTCCTCCCGCAGCCCAAAGATGTGCAGGCTGGGTGGGTTAACTGTGCTAACTTGTGCGACAGTGTGCAGGGGAATGCAGGTTAGGGTGGGTTAGCCATGGGGGTTGCGGGGTTACAGGGACAGGGTAGTGAGGTGGGTCTGCGTTGGATGTTGTTTGGAGGGACGATGTGAACGTGATGGCGCATTTCCACACTAGGAACTGCCTTGAGTCCCCCCCCCACTTTTAAGTCCTTTTTCTCCTTTTGTCAAGACAGGCCTGGACAGACCATTTGAGCCCTGATTGCTGCTGGGAAAGATAATTCTTTTAAAAAATTCTGCTCTGTAAATATCACGCCTCACCTCCCCCCTCCCACTGTACAGCTGAAGGCTATGGCATAGGGTAACTCAAACACATGCCTAAATTGTCACTCTAGTGTTCAAATGGGGTTACATGGGGGAAGATCTAATGTAATACATCCTTGCACATACAGGAGGTGCCTTCCCTAAGATGGGCGACACCAACAAACATAATCAACTTAATCATTCTCGCTCAAACACTGGTTAATGGAACTGAGAAATGGACAGAGCCAACATTTGGAGCTATATCAGAGATAGTAAGAACTGCTGATGCTGGAGAATCTGAGATTGCAAGGTGTAGAGCTGGAGGAACACAGCAGGCCAAGCAGCATCCGAGGAGCAGGAAAGCTGACGTTTCGGGTCGGAACCCTTCTGAAGAAGGGTCCTGACCTGAAAGGTCAGCTTTCATGCTGCCTGCTGTGTTCCTCCAGCTCCACACTGTTATATTTGGAGCTATATGATGTCATGTTGGGTTTTTTTTTCAGTTCCTTATTTGGCGAGGCTTTCCAAAATGGTTTCTAAGGGTCTGGCTTTTTGTTCTACTGTGGCTCACTTGAGCTTCTCTGGTCAGGTTATCTGCAGGATCTTGGGGTTTATGTGTATCTGGTGCTTAGTTTGTATTTGTACCTCAGCCAGTGGGAATGTGAGGTAATGCTGTTTTTTTTTCCCCTTACAAACACCATCCCCACCCCCATCCTTAGATCTACGTGAGAACGGGGATCTACCACGGAGGTGAGCCACTCTGTGACAATGTCAACACTCAGAGAGTACCCTGCTCCAATCCGCGGTATGTAAGCTTTCTGTTGAAAAGCAGTCTGTGTATGTGTTTGCTAACTAGACCAACCTTTTTATTCTGTCCCTAACTGCCCTTGCAGTAATACAATAATACAGTACAAATTAAACTTGAATGGTTAGCACAGCTGTTTCATAGGATTGTTAAGAATTGAGTGTTGCTTGTCTGAATCACATGTAGGCCAGACCAGTTAAGAATGGCCGGTTTCCCTTGCTCAAGGACAAGATGGGGTGTCTTTTAGCCATAGAGTCATACAGCACCAAAACAGACCCTTCAGTCCAACCAGTCCACCCTGACCATGTTCCCAAACTGAACTAGTCCCACCTGCCTGCGTTTGGCCCTTATCCCTCCAAACATTTCTTATTCACGTACTTATCTGAATGTCTTTTAAACGTTGTAATTGTACCCGCATCCACCACTTCCTCTGGAAGTTCATTCCATACACAAACCACTCTGTGTGAAAGAGTTACCCCTCATCTTTTCTTTTTAAATCTTCCTCCTCTTGCCTTAAAAATATGCCCCCTAGTCTTGAAATTCCCCACCCTAGGGAAGATAACTTTGCTTATGAGACGTGGTAAAAGACCTTTATCTATGCCCATTTTATAAACTTCGATAAGGTCACTCCTCAACCTTCTACACTCCAGTGGGAAAAGTCCCAGCTTATCCAGACTAATTTTATAACTCGAGCCCTGCATTCCTGGAAACATCCTGGTAAATCTCTTCTGAACTTTTTCCAGTTTAGTAATATGCCTTCCTATAACAGAACTGCACACAGTACTCTAGAAGAGGCCTTCAAAACAGCTGTCATTGTCACCATTATTGACACTTTATTTTCCATTCAGTTTTGTAAAGTGAATTCTAATTTCACCAGCTGCTGTGGTGGGGTTTGAACCTGGGTCCCCAGAGCATTTGGCTGGGTTTCTGGATTACACATCCAGTGACAACATCACAGTATCACCCTCTTCCCTTCACCCGTAGAATCAGACAGTGCACATAAGGGCCGAATGGTCTCCTTGCATCCTTGATGGCTCTTGGAATGATCCAGTTAGTCCTACTCTTACCCAACTTCTCTTCTTGAAAAGAAACACTCCTTAAAATATATTTTCTTTTGTTTATTCACTCGTGGGGCATGTTATTAATGTCCCTAGTTGCCCCTTGACAAAACAGACAGATGTCTATTTCTCAGTCAAGCAGTCATCAGGATGAATTGCAAGAATGACAAATTTCAAGCAGTGAGCTAAATAATGAACTTTTGTATCATTTGTAGGATGTGGGCTTTGCTGGAAAGACTATTCCTTCCTTGAAAATTGGTGGGTCAGCGGTTAGCACTGCTGCCTCACAGCACCAGGGACCCAGGATCGATCCCACCCTCGGACGACTGTGTCTGTGTGGAGATAGTAGGAACTGCAGATGCTGGAGAATCCGAGACACCAAGGTGCAGGGCTGGATGAACACAGCAGGCCAAGCAGCATCATAGGAGCAGAGAGGCTGATGTTTCGGGCCTAGACCCTTCATCAGAAAAGCCTTTTCTG